CGAACGGGCCCTTACTATCTAACAATAATTCTTCTTCCATTCGAAGTGTTGTGATTTCCAAACTCAATATTTTAGCATATTATTTTCACCAAGCATGATGTGATATTGTAGAGTTTTAGGATGATGTGAAGCTCATGGCTGCCATGAACCGACAAGCTTATATATTCACACTGTTAAAGTTTTATCACTGCTGCTTGCCCGGTTACTCTCCTCTCAGACTGCATAATTGAATTACCTCAATATTATGTTCTATTCTGTCCAATCTCATATATGCCGTTTCCATTACAAACAAATATCTTTCTTATTTCTCACAATAACAATTCTCTCAACACATGCTCCACAGCACGACGACGACGAGCATACGGAGACATCATCCGGAGTAAGTATGTGCTCTGTTCATAATGTTTAGTATGACCGGAAAGAAAACAACAACCTGCGGCTGCAGAGATCATAGTGTACAAAATGGTGGCGAAGGTTACATATAGGGGACTGCTATTACTTTTTTAGGCAAAATTCTGAGTGCTTTATGCAAGTGGTTGTCATACGTTCAGATTTGTATATTCTGTTGCTCTCGTTTAATTTGCAGTAAGCTGACTTCGTTTCACTTTTGATTTCTGTTGGTTAGTACATCCTAAAGATTGGTAATGGAGATGCTACCGAGTGCATGAGTGGATTCATAGCCATGGGCATTCCTCCTCCCTATGGACCTATCTGGTAAAATTATGCGCGGCTTATGTTCTCAGAGCCTTCTGCTTTTATCGACATTGACCTCTTAGTGTACTATTGCACTCATAACACAGACGAGTTAGTAATTAAGGTTTCTTCATCTGTGAGATTTATCGTTGGGAGCACGAAACACCTCTGAAATACTGAAAGTGAATGTTCCACGAAACTGCTGTGCTGACTCTAACAGTGAGGACTTGCTGTCGTAGGATCTTGGGCGATATATTCATGGGAGCCTACCATGCCGTATTCGACTATGGCAATACGAAGGTTGGGTTCGCGAAGGCGGCATAGGGCCCCCCCGTGGTGGATGGATGAGCTGCAGAGCTGCCTAATCTTCAGATCGGTTTCGTCTTCGTCAAAGCATGTATATGCATATGTTAGATGCTTAATAATAATTGTGTGATCTGGGATAATAAACCTGTCTGTTATGATTTGTCCAATATAATGAAGCAGGCTTTGGTACTCATTATTTGCATACAAGCATGTTTCTCCTGAATCCCAACTGAAAAAGTGTCTACAACGTGCTTGTGTTCATATCTGTTTATCCATCTAAAATTATATTTGGGGTTATCTCAGAAGACTCGGATTAGATCGATGTATTGAAACTGAAGGATGGTCGATTTGGTTGGGCGTAAAAACTGTAGGGTAATGCACTTTTTTATATTGAGTTGTTTCTTGAACACAAATCCTTCGGAGATGTAAAGTTTCTGATGCAGGCAAGGAATCAGATCTTCAGGTGACCACACATCCATTCAAACCAGGTGGCCCATACTTCCTTTTATCTCCCTTGCATTCTTGATTTGGTTCACCTCCACTACCATCCCAGCTTGCTCTTTTGGGTTCCTATAGGTTCATTGCGAGGCAGTGAAGAACTGAAATACCTGAAGAGAACATTAGGAGGTGATGGTAGAAGCTTGCTTGTGTGCTACCTGCTGTTGTCATTCGAAGGAGGAAGGAATGTGAATGTTCTCACTGAATAGAAAAAAGACGCACTATGGTGAGAGTTGATTAAATGTAGAGTTGAATCCCTTTACCATAGTAGTTTAAATAGCAACCATAAGTTATTTTCCTGAGCCAGCGATTAATCAATGCTAAAGCTGCTCCGCATATTAGTAACAAATGTTGTATTTTATTAGAAAGTATAATTTCGTTACTGAATCAGTGGCCGATCAATGTTGAATTAGGTTCGTATATTTTGTGAAAGTTCGTTGAATCACTTGTCTGAATCTTTATACCAATTATGATAATTTTAGGAGGTGGAAGGGGCGGCTCCCACTTGGCATCGCCCCAACTTTCTATCAGGAGGTGCCCCAAGGGGGCGCCCCAACCCCTATTCAGCCATTACACCTGGCCTGCTGCCCGCCCGCTTCAATGAATCTCGATTCACATCAGGCATCGGCTTTGTTTGGATGCATGGGTTAGAGTTAGTTTGGGTTAATTTTGACTCAACTAATCCAAAAATATCCAAACAGAAGGGTTAGTTTGGGTTAGATGCATCTAATCCACATGAAAAACTAACCCACCCAAGAAGTGCTTATTTGGGTCAGTTCTTCTCAAAACCACTAAGAGCAACTCCAAAGGACCGACCCATTTCGTCCGCCTACGTCCGTTTGGGTCGGCACGGACAAATATGGCGGCCCAACGCGCCGACCCAAATCCAAATCATGTCCGCGTCGTGTCCGCGCCGACGCATTTGCGGCTTAAATTTGCACCCCAAATGCGTCGGCACGGACGCCGAACGGACGCTTCTCGCGCCTTCTCGCTATCCGCCACGTCCCCACATGGCGGCCGTCCAACTACCCGCTGCCCACGCGGTCAGCTTAATTTATGACGACGGGCCCACGCGTCAGCGATGGCGCTCGTCCTTTTTTAAGCCGACCGTATGGTGGAGCCGTCCTCATCCAAACTCGCCGTCCACATCTGCCCACCTTTGCTCCCTCGTCGCTGGCAAACCCTAGCCACCACAACCACAGCGAGATGGGCCTCTTCTCCGGCGCCAGCGGCAGCAAGGCCAAGGGCAAGTCCCCCGCAACCCCTTTCCCCTCAGAGCTCCTCCCACCTCCGTCGGAGTCGGCGCCTCGCCGGCAGAGGCAGCACGTGAACGTGCCAGTGCACCAGGCGGAGTGGCACTGGCAGCACCACCAGCCTCTGCCGTATCCGGACGTGACGCTGCCGCACGACTGGCATTTGGATCCAGATAGGATCCCAGTGCCGGCGGCGCCGCGGACGGCTTGTGCTCACGCGGAGGAGGTGCGGCGCCGGCGGGCGCTGCTGACGCCGGAGCAACGCCGCGACCAGGCCTACTCAACCGACTCGCCCAACTGGGCGAGGTGGTTCGCCTTCGAGCACGAGGAGGCGAGGCGACGGGGCGTGCACGAGGTCGACCAGAGGTCGCCGCCACCGGCGCTCGTCGTCCGCGAGGAGGACCAGGCGGCCCTTGCGGCCGTCTACCGGAAGAGCGGGGAGGACGAGCGACACAGAGCGGAGGCAGAAGAGGAGGCTCGGTACGAGGCGGCAATGGCGCAGCCGCTTGCCCTCTCCGCGGCGGGCGACAGCGTGGTGCCGCTGGTGGCCCCGCCGCCCCCCATCAAGCCAGAGCCCGAGCCCGAGCCCATCACGCGCTTCTCTTGGAGGGGAGTGGTGCGCGAATGGGTGTCCGCGCCACCGGTTTGGCTGGGGGCGACGCCGGCGCAGGAGCAGGCGTACCTCGAGATGTGGCGCCAGCGCCGGCTGGCAGAGGAGCGCCGTCACGGCGAGTACGAGGAGATGCTTGAGCGCGACCTCGAGG